GGCTCTGTCTCAAAAAAAAAAAAAAAAAAAAAAAAAGATTTGTTTTCTCTGGCAAGCTTCCAGTAACACAGGACTACAGAACAGATGAGTCCTTCCAGCCTTTCCCTTCATAGGTCCTCTCATCAATAAGTTTAAACCAATTCATTTCACAGAAGTGAATAGAGAAACTCACCTTAAAAGGTATCTCTCACACTGCCTTGATCTGGGGGTTCCACTAACAGAGTCAGCACAGCACAGGAATTACATGTGTGAGAGAGCAAATCTCAGCATTACTGAGATTGTGTTATTACAATCACACTAATTATATTTCTACTGTGTTTTTTTTTTAGAATTTGCTAATTGCTTGTTCTAAAATATGCATTCCTTATTTACTTTCTCTCATTACTCTTTTTTTTTTTTTAATTTCAGGTCAATGTGAGGGTACAGCTAGGTCACAATATTTGAATTTGTTAGGTAGAGTCCCTCTTGTAGTTGGGTGTGCCATACACCCCTAACTTGTGCCCATTAAGTGGAGCACTCCAACCTCTTCCTCTTCTCTCCCCCTCCATCATTCCCCCTTCATGCAACTTGAATTTAAATGAATTTTTCTCCTATGCGGGTGTGAATTAGATTGTCTTCTGCCTTCATATTAGTATTGAGTACATTGAGTATTTGATATTCCATTCTTGTGATACTTTAATAAGAATGTGTTTCAGCTCCATCCAGGTTAATTCAAAAGATGTAAAGTCACCATAATTTTTTATGGCTGAGTAGTATTCCATGGTATACATATACCATAGTTGGTTAATCCATTCCTGGTTTGGTGGGCATTTAAGTTGTTTCCACATCTTGGCAATAGTAAATTGAGCTGCAATAAACAATCTAGTGCAAATGTCTTTCTGAGAAAATGATTTTTTTCTTCTGGATAGATGTCTAGTGGTAGGATTATGTGGTCAAATAGGAGGTCCAATTTCAGTACTTTGAAGATTCACCATACTTCTTTCCAAAGAGGCTGTATTAGTTTGCAGTACCACCAACAGTGTAAAAGTGTTCTTCTTTCTCCCTATCTGCACCAGCATCTGGAACTTTGGGACTTTGTGATGTGGGCTATTCTCACTAGGGTTAGGTGATATCTCAGGGTGGTTTTGATTTGCATTTCTCTAATGACTGGGGATGATGAGCCATTTTGTCATATGTTTGCTAACCATTCTTCTTCAGAGAAGTTTCTATTCATGTCTTTTGCCCAGTGATCAGTGATAGATGGGATTATTAGCTTTTTTTTGTTGATGAATTCGAGTTCTCTGTATATCTAGTTATGAAGCCTTTGACAGATTTGTATATGCAAATATCTTTTCCCTTTCTGAAGGTTGTCTATTTGCTTTGATTGTTGTTTCCTAAACTGTGCAGAAGCTTTTCAGTTTAATTTGGTCCTATTTGTTTATTTTTGTTGTTGCTGCAATTACCATGGGAGGCTTCTTCAAAAACAATTTCTCCCCAGGCTGATATCCTCAAGAGTTTTTCCTACAATTTCTTCCAGTATTTTTACCATCTCATGCCTCAGATTTAAATCTTTTATCCATCTTGAATCAATTTTGGTAAGTGGTGAAAGGTACAGGTCCAGATTCACTCTTTTACATGTGGTTATCCAGTTCTCCCAGGACCATTTGTTAAATAGGGATTCTTTTCCCCAGTGTATGCTTTTATTGAGCTTATCAAAGATCATATAGCTATAAGAAATTGGTTTCATCTTTTGGTTTTCTATTTTGTTCCAAAAGTCTGTGCCTCTATTTTTGTGCCAATACAATGCTTTTTTTGTCACCATGGACTTGTAATAGGCCTCAAGTCTGGTAGGGTGATGCCTCTGGCTTTGTTTTTATTACTAAATATTGTCTTGGCTATATGGGTTTTATTCTGGTTCCATACAAAATGAAGTACTATTTTTTCCAAATCTTCAAAGTATGATGTTGGTATTTTAATGGGATTGCATTGAATCTGTAGATTGCTTTGGGTAGTATAAACATTTTAACAATGTTGATTCTTCTCAGCCAAGAGCATGGTGTGCTCTAGCCCATATTAATGTCCTCTGCAATTTCTTTTCTTAGGAGTTCGTAATTTTCTTTATAGAGGTTCTTCACCTCTTTTGTTATATATATTCCTAGGTATTTTATTTTTTGTGAAGCTACTGTGAAAAGAATTGTGTCCTTGATTAGCTTCTCATCTTGGCTGTTATTGGCTTCTACAAAGGCTACTGATTTGTGGACATTGGTTTTATATCCTGAGACATTGCTTTTTTTTTTTTTTTTTTATCATTTCCAGGAATCTTGTGGTTGAGTCTTTAGGGTTCTAAAATAGCGTATTGTCAGCAAAGAGGGAGAGTTTAACCTCCTCTGCTCCCCTTTGGATTCCCTTTATAACCTTCTCTTCCTGATTATATTGGCTAGAACTTCCAGCACTATGTTGAATACTAGTGGCAATAGGGGCTAGCCTTGTCTGGTTCCAGTTCTAAGTGGAAAAGCTTTCAGTTTTACTCTGCTCATTATGATATTGTGGGTTTGTCATAGATGGCTTCAATTAGTTTAAGAAATGTGCCAACTATGCCAATATTCTTAAGTGTTCTTGTTAGAAAAAGATGCTGAATTTCATCAAATGCTTTTTCTGCATCTATTGAGAGGATCTTTTTTTTTTTTTTTTTTTGCTTCTAATGATATGGTGAATTACATTTATGGATTTGTGTGTGTTAAACCAGCCTTGTATCCCTGGGATAAAGCCTACTTGATAATGAAATATAATTTTTTTAATGCATAGCTAGCTATATGGGGTCAGATTTTATTGCGTATTTTTGCTACAATTTTCATTAGTGGAATTGGTCTGTAGTTCTTCTTTTTAGTTGGGTCATTTCCTGGTTTTGGTTTCAGGGTGATGTTTGCTTCACAGAAGGTGCTGAGGAAGATTCTTTCCTTCTCAATGTTTTGGAATACTTTCTGCCATGTAAGTATAAATTCTTGTTTGAAGGTTTGACAGAATTCTGGTGTGAAGCTGTCTGGTCTAGGATTTATTTTTGTTGAAAGTTTTTTTATTGTTTCCACAATCAATCTCAGTGCTTGACATTGGTCTGCTCAAGAGATCTATTTCTTCTTGGTTAAGCCTGGGGAGATGGTATGATTTCTGGTATTGGTCCATTTCCTCCACATTGTCCAATTTCTGGGCATAGAATTTCTTGAATTAGTTAGAGATAATCTCTTTTATCATTATGATATCTGTTGTTATTTCTCCTTTTTCATTTCTGATTCAGGTTATTAGAGATTTTACTTTTTAGTTTTGAGTTAAACTGACCAAAGTTTTATCAATTTTATTTATTTTTTCAAAGAACCAACATTTTGTTTCATCAATTTTTGAATGATTCTTTTGTTTGCAATTTTCTTTATTTGTGATTTAATTTTGGTTATTTCTTTTCTTATGCTAGGTTTGGGATTGGACTGCTCTTCCTTTTCCATTACCTAAGGATGAGTCATTATGTTGTTGATGTGCTCTCTTTCTGTTTTTTGTATGTCCACATCTAATGTGATAAATGTCCCTCTTTAAAACTGCTTTTGCAGTATCCCACAGGTTTTTTTTGTTTTTGTTTTATTTTTGGCAGCTTTTGGCCTGGGCTGGGTTTGAACCCACCACCTGTGGTATATGGAGCTAGCGCCCTACTCCTTGAGCCATAGGCACCACCCTCCCACAGGTTTTACTAACTTATACCTTCATTGTTGTTACATTTGAGAATTTTAACAATTTCCTGCTTTATCTCTTCCTTCACCCAACTGTAATTCAACATAAAGTTGTTTAATTTTCATGCCTTTGTGTGGAGATGAAGTTTTTGTTAGAGTTAATTTCCAATTTTATTGCCTTGCGGTCTGAGAAGATACAAGGTATAACTTCAACTTTTTAATTTTGTTGAAGTTTGATTCATGTCCTAGAATATTATCTATTTGGAGTATATTCCATGGGCTGAAGAGAAGAACATATGTATTCCTTAGGTTTTGGATGGTGTGTTCTGTGTTACGTCTATTAAGCTCAATTGTTCTGGGGTCACTTTTAAAATCCCTGTATGTTTGTTCAGTTTCTGTCTAGAGGATCTGTCCAGTTCTGTCAGAGGGTTATTAAATTCTCCAGATATTATGGTATTATGGGATATCAGATTCCTTAGATCACAGAGGGTCTGTTTCATAAATCTTAGAGCATTTAAGTTCGGTGCATAAATATTTAGAATTGAAGTGTCCGCTTTTTGTATGGTTCCCTTGACCAGTATGAAATGACCATCTTTGTCTTTCTTAACTCTAGTTGCTTTCAATCCACTTGTATCTGAAAATAAGATTGTGACTCCTCCTTTCTTCTGATTTATATTTGTCTGAAATATTGTCTTCTCTAAAAAAGAGGGCATTTTATATATTAGATAACTAAATGCTATCTAATTCATAGAATTAATCTAATGATTAATGGTAGAAAGGATACAGTAGAAATGATGAAAA